ATATTTACGATTCAGTGGAAACTGGTTTCCTACTGAAAAAAAATAGTTTAACATCTGCTATAGAAAAATTTAAAATGTGACCTCTAATAAAAAAAAAATATTTTTTTTTTCAAAAATTATTATTTATCATATTTATGATATTTAAGATTCAGTGGAAACTGATTTCCCATTGAAAAAAAATAGTTTAACATCTGCTATAAAAAAAATTTTAATGGGACGTCTTATAGAAAATACATTTTTTTTTTCAAAAATTATTATTTATCATATTTATGATATTTAAGATTCAGTGGAAATTGGTTTCCCACTGAAAAAAGTTTTCACGTTTTTCAGTAAATTGCGATTTTACGATAACGGCTTCAGCTTTTCAATCTAAATTGAAAGTGTTATTGCAAATAATGGGCTTCAAATTTATTGTTAATTCACAAACGACAACTAGAAATTTTACACCACCAGCGAATAAAGTGTAAAATAGTCGTGGTAAAACCCAGGCGACGTGCGTTGTATCGACCGAAATCAGTCCGGAAACCCGGAATTTGAGTATAAATTGACAAACTTGCTGAAATATGCGAATTTTTTTTTGAGTTTCCTTAATGATGTGTGGGAGAAATCAATTCTCCATCACGATTGTATACCAAAACCCTTTATTTCAGTTTTCAGTTTATTTTTGTATAATTCATGGAAAATCGTCAATTCGAAAAAACTGAATCATTTACTTGCTGATGAAAATTTAAGGAGCATCTATATTCAAATAGGCTTTTTAAGTCGCAATAAAATCGAAGACGGTGCTGAAGCTTCGATTACGAGACAAATTGTTCGGAATAAACCAAATTGATACGAAATTCACGTGACTATGAAAATGAAGAGAAATCTCCAAAATGCGACTTCATACGTTATATTTTTAGTTACAAAATTACTTTTTCAGAAATCGTCACTGTTTTACATAAAATCCTAGTAAAGAGGCTAAAATCGGCCCTAAGGTAGTTCATTATACCACAATTTTGTGTATTGTTGGTTGCGAACATTCACAACAGTGTTGTCAAATTATCTTAATGTAAACTGGAGATAAAGTATTATTTATTTTATTGTACAAATTTTTTTTCCTGTATCGTGGTATTGTATGGTGGCTAGATATTTTTTAGTTTATAGACGAGGTGGTACTACTGAAACGGGAAATCTGACAACACTGTTTGCTCAAATTCCCCAACCTCCTTTCTTCTCGCACATTTTAAAGCGTTTTTGCTCTAACGTTTTTGAAAAAAAAATTAATTATTACTAAAGTAACCTTAAAATTTTGGAGTTTGTTAATTTTTTTTAAATTTAAAAACACGAAAAAAAAAGATCTAAGCTTTCTCTTTCAAACGCCAAAAAAACGAACTCAAAATTCTAAAAAAGAGCAAAGTTACCGATTTTTAAAGTGGAAGGTGCAGTTTCAAAAATTTTTGAAAAACTCTAAATATTTAAAAAAACTGCTAAATTTAGGTATAGGAAAATCTGATGAAAACTCCCTTAAAATAACCCAATTAATCCAAAAACGCAGTAAAAAATATAGCTTTCTATTTAAAATAAGAAAGTTGAGACCGACTTCCGGTATAACTGGAAGTGCCGCCATCTTAAAAATATTTTCAAGCGGACTTAATGGATTATGCCTATGTACCAAATTTCAAATAAATACGATTATTTGAACTCCCAATACTTCTAATGTGAGGTTTAGACGGAACATCCTGTATAAAATTTTTCATTTTCATTCGTAGTTTTTTTAGTACACCATAGTTTTTTATTTCAATAATCTCTCTTTTTTAATATTTTTTTGAAGTTTGCAGTTAAAAATCTTTTTTTAATAAATTAAAAAAAAATTAATAATTGTAGTTGGAATGAATTTGAGATGTTTGCTAACGCAGTGGTATTGGAATAAATAGGTAATTTTATTCTGAAAAAAGTTAATTACTAGAAGAAATCTTTCAATTCAGTTCTAGTTTCCAAACTTTCGATTTTTTGCTCTTTGGTAGCGCTAAATTTTTCAGTTGTTTCGCGGAGCGTCAGCTTCAAAAAATTACCTCTCCCTTCGGGCCTCCTCAACTCCCAAACTTTCCTCATTAGAATTAATGCTAGAGATAATTTCGCTCCTGCAAATCCATTAGGAACTCTCCTTGCTGACCTACATTTATCCACTCGCTAAATTCCGACTCTCTTTTTCCCCAAACTGTAAAAAACCTGTTTAGAATTGTCTCCATATTAAAGCATGCGGGACATGAATTTATTGCCTCGCGGAGACCGTCCTGAAACGGATTTTCAGATGAATCACTCGAGACTTCAAGTCCTTTCATCTTGTCGTCTTTGGATAAATCCAAGTTTGGTGATGATATTCCAATGCAGCTTTGTGCTCGATATTGATCCGCCGGTTTAAGTGCACAATTCGTGTTAAAAGAATAGTCAAAGATCGTGAAAAAATTAATCCATGCGATAAATCGGCTGAAACACGATTTTACAAACAACTAAAAATTAATTTGGTTCGTTTACGACTCATCGTTTGTGTTTATGACAGAATTGTTTTATCAAAAATTAATGTTGATCTGTTAAATTTCCAAATAAAATTCGCGATTAATTTTCCAATTTGATTTTTATACATTTCACTGTTCGATTTAAATTAGGTGGGAGTTGGAAGCAAACACTGTTTTTTTCGTTTTTTTTATTCTAACATGTCAGTACAATATGCTTAGTCTAACATAATACTAATGCAGTAATTTTTGTAAGTGATAATCAGACTGTTATAAAATTATGTTTAGGCACAGTCGTACATTGGCCATACTAAATAGCGTCCTAACTAACATAGCATCACAAATATGGTTACAAAAACACTTAAAGATAAAGGAGGGTGAAAGCACCTCATTTACCCCAAATCTAGGCCCAAATGACCCTCCTTTCCCTCTAATTAGTGGTATTAAATGTATTATTATCGAGTCACATTAAATAATAAAAATTAACAATGAAATATTCACAAGTGAGTCTTATATCCTACATGTTATCAAATCACTCGTCGGTTTGTATTCTTAATGAACGATATTTACAACTCTTAATTAGATTAGTATAAATGTGGGATACTTGAAGCAAATAAAAAAATTAAACACAGATGTGTATTCGGCACTTGACATTTAACTACGGAAGCTCTAAATTTGAAATATTCGCGATATTTCATTTTGGTCTTTCTGATGTTAATTACATTTACTCCAATTACTTTCGGGTTTTACTCCTAATATCACAATGCAAAGCTTTGTTCAGTATTCGAATTTATTGTAACTGATTGAATTACAAATTAAGAAAAGGGAAAACACGAAATATTTGATTATGTAGCCTCCTCGTCTGCCTTTTCGTTCGTTTCTTCCGTACGGTATTTCCCATTGTAGTAGGGAAAATACTGTAGCACAGTTTTCCACTCCGACATATACGTCAGGAAAATCAAGGAAGTGAAAGCGTAACAGACTGCACTAGGCACAAACGACATCACGACTCGTATGTGTTTTGGGCCAATAATACGGAGAAAATGCGGAAATTCAAGGAGTGGTGCAATTTTTTGCGGGTTTGCAGACGCTTTGGGCTTTTTCGAGGGCTTTTTTGGCTTGCTTTTATCACACTCCACCATTTTGACAACACAAAGACTGACACTAAAGGGAAATGTCAATTTAATAATATACCCTGCGACCACGATAAGTTTCCCAAGTGAGGAAAAATAGCAAAAAAGCATAAAACCTGCACGTTTCTGTGTATTTATAACACCAAAAATGTGGATTGAAGACGAAGTCCGGTACTGTTTTTCATTAAATTTAATATACCCTGCGACCAAAATAAGGTTCCAAAAGTGATGAAATACAGTAAAAGAAATAGCAATTTGGTACTTTTCAGTTAAAGATTAAAAATGTGAACATATTCTCATTGTAGAAAATCAGCCAAATGGTGGCTTTTTCGAAGCTAGGGATTGAAATAATGAAAAGAATTGACAAACTGTCATATTTGTCGAAGACGTAGAAATTTGACGTTTGTTAATGTCAAATTTTAATTCTTGGTTATGTTCTCTCAGAGTCAGTGTCGCCTATCGATTAGTGACTTTCTCCTATAGTTATTTGCAATGTATACTTTGTAATCTTGAGAGATTTGTTTTTAAAATCAAACTGTACAGTTGGAGACAAAATACTTTGGTCGTCACTTTTCTGACACTTTAATGTAATTCAAGCTTTAACGTTAAAATGAATGACAATTTCAAATTAATGACAGTTATTATATTTTCCTATCAAAAATATGTACAGACAACTTGTCAACTATCATTGACAGTAGCTAAAAATAATGTTAAGAGTCCTATAGCATTCTTTACAATATAATCTCACTCAAGTGACATTGACGACCAAAGTATTTTGTCTCCAACTGTAATTTTAAACCAATTTCGGCTAAAGAATTGTTACAAAATGAGTAACCGTATATTAACAAATTGTTAATTAAATACATCATAATATTTGTCAAAGACGTCAAAATTTGACATTTGTAAATGTCAAGTATTTTAATATGCCCTGCGACCACCATGAAAACCAAACGTAACCATTTGGAATCTTTTTTAGTTACGGATTAAAAATGTAAACATTTTCTCGTTATAAAAATAAAATCAAGGTGGATTTTTCATAATTACTGAAGTAAGAAAAAGAACTGTCAGTTAATCGTCATCAACTGTCTTAATACTTACCAACGACGTCAAAATTTGACATTAATAACTGTCAAATTTTAATTTTTAGTTATGTTTCCCTAGTTTCATGATATTGCCAGTGCCATTTTTCGTTACTGACAACGTGTATTTTATAACTTTGATACATTTTTTTTTTCAAATTGTAAATAAGAGATTTGCCATTAACTGTCATATTTATCAAAAACGTTAAAATGCGACGTTTGTGACTGTCAAAAATTTTAGTAGGTAATACCCTGCTACCAGGCTAAGTTTCCAAAAGTGATAAAAAAAGTAAAACAAACAGTTAGAGATTAAAAATATAAACAATAAAAATGATGAATTTTCCGGAACTACTGAAACAGGAAAAAGAATTGTCAGTTAATTGTCATAAACTGTCATAATATATGTCAAAGACGTCAAAATCTGACGTTTGTGACTATCAAATTTTAATTTTATGTTAAGTCTCCCTTTTTTGACCTTGTCAGTCCATCAAAACACATAACAATTTGGTATTTTTCAGCAAAATGGTGGATTTTTCGTAATTACTGAAATAGGCAAAAGAATTGGCAATTATTTTTTATCAACTGTCATAATATTTGTCAAAGGCGTCAAAATTTGACGTTTGTAACTGTCAAACTTGTCAGTGCCATCTTTCTCCCTTAGTGGTAGAAACTTTGAAACATTTATTTTTGAAATGTCGAATTCTAACTAAAATTCTGAACGAGTTTGGGTCATTTTTAATGAAAGAATTGTCAGTTAACTGTCATAGTTGTCAAAATTCTAATTAAGATTTTGAACGAATTTGAGTAATTTTTAATGAAAGAATTGTCAGTTAATTGTCATTAACTGTCATAATTGTCAAAGAAGTCGAAATTCGACGTTTGCGACTGTGAAAAATTTTAATATACCCCGCGATCACAATAAGCTTTCAAAAGTGATATAAAATAGGAAAACAAATATATATTTTCTTACTTTTCCTAGGTACTAAAATCGAAAAATAAAAATCAAAAAATTGTCACTGTATTTGCCAAAAACGTCAAAATTTGACGTTTGTGAGAGTCAAATTTTAATTTTATGTTATGTTTCCCTTTTTTGACTTTGTCAGTTCATCAAAACACATAACAACTTGGTATTTTTCAGCAAAATGGTGGATTTTTCGTAATTACTGAAATAGGCAAAAGAATTGTCATTTGGAATTTGACAAATACGTCAAAATTTGACGTTTGTAACTATCAAACCTTTTTGCTTATGTTTTCCCTATTTTGTTGATATTGTCAGTGCCATCTTTCGGTTGCCGACTTTCTCCCTTAGTTGTGAAAACTTTGAAACGTCGAATTCTAACTAAAATTTTGAACAAATTTGGGTAATTTTTAATGAAAGAATTGTCAGTTAATTGTCATTAACTGTCATAGTTGTCAAAGAAGTTGAAATTCGACTACCTCGCGATCACAATAAACTCCCAAAAGTGATATAAAATAGGAAAACAAATATATGTTTTCTTATTTTTCCTAGGTACTGAAATCGAAAAAAAATCAAAAAAATTGTCATTGTATTTGTCAAAAAAGTCAAAATTTGACGTTTGTGACTTATGTTATTGACAACGTATACTTTGTAACCTTGAAATATTTTTTAAACGTCGAATTCTAAACGAATTTTGCTTAGGAATTGTAAATAAAATGAGTCACTGAACTGTAAACAGTTTCAGTTAGCAAAAAATTGTTCCAAAACTAAATGAAAACTTGATCATCATCCGAGTTGGACAAGTAATTAGTCTGGTTTTCTACATCACTACCCATCATGGTTTTTTTCACTGGTGTTACTGGATACCTGACCGGTCCCCTCCACTTCCTGCTAAGTCCTAAACTTCGAGGTAGCGCTATAGGCGGTATAGTAGCTTTGCAATTAGTATTATCTTCCTTGAGAAGTTTGCGATCAAGTGACCTAGAGTTGTTGTTACTCTTCGGTATAACATCGACAACAACAGCTTTGTCAGTATCGTAGATTTGATTGCACGATTTGGAAATATTCTTGTTCAAACTCGCCACCGAAGTATTGCTTTGCGGTAGATTCTTCTTCACCATCACATTCTCGGTTTCGGGTTCGATTTCATAGCGGATATGTTTATGATATGGCACTTCCGTTGAAGTATTACTAGACCCATATTTGTGAAAATTTGAAATGTCGAGACAGCTTTCGGTCACGTGTTTTTCGACAGGACTACCAACTAACACCCTGTGTAGACTTGAGTTGTAATTGGGGTACGATAAGCGTTTGAGTTTATTCATCGTGTTTTCCAAACGTAGATTTTTCAAATGGGATTCAGTGATATTTGATAAGTTCATTTTACACCCATCAGTGATGCGCAGCGTCGATTGTGAATGGACGCTCCGCGAGAGCACAAATTCCACTTTCTGCCCTGTATTGGTTAGCAAATTTAAGGCATTTTTGTATTTCATCCCTAGGAGGCTTCGCCCATCGACAGCGACGACTTGATCACCGCTCAATATATTCCCACTCAAGTGGGCAGGGCCTCCTAGGATCACCGACTGGATGTAGACGTTACCATCGGAGCCCTCTGTGATCTGCAGCCCTAAACTACCCCTACTGTCGCGCTCGACACAAACTGTCGATAAAATCCGCTCCTCCTCGAATGAAATATCATTCAGTTTGTTCAACAAAGTCTCACTTAAACTCTCATGAAAGTCGGGGAGAAACTGATTCGTGGGGGATTTCACCGAAGAATCTACAAAAAATACTAAAATTGAGTTTCTACACAATTACAGTTACCTATAATGTAGGCCTCGTTGGATATCGACGTGGAACTGCAATGAAGAGAGACAGATTGCAGCGACATCTCTTCTAAATCATCGTGACTTGGGGCGTTCATAGCTTCCATAGATCTGGATACTCGATTATTGAACATTCGAGTCCCCATTTTAACTCCGCGTCTCTTATCGGGATTGATATTCCCCAATCCTGACAGATAGCAACTATCAAGGATTAATCCTGAAGTTTTTCGTTCAGAAGGGAGCTCATTTTCCTTATTTTGGTAATCCTCGTTGATGTCTACACTTTTTGCCCGTCGGAGTTTGTTCTCATTTGATGCTTTACTGCACTTCGAAGAGGCCCGAAATTCGATTTTGAATTCGGTTTCGGCGTTCACCGTCGACTGGTCCAAGTAATTTGTCAGTGCTTCTAATTTGCACAAAGAGTTGGTTTCGTTTTTCATGTCTTTGAGGGGGATCCCGAATTGTTGGGAGAGCGTCTGGAGTGACGTGTATTCAGTGCGAAGACGGAGGAAAAACTGGTGGTGTAACGAAGCAAGACGGAAAGTGAAATAACTCCTGAAAATTACAATTCAAAGGTTGTGGCGTTTGAATTAAGAATCACAAGGCGACAAAAAAAGTCATGTCGTGACAACTTGACACATTTTATATCATTTTGTTCGTCTCAGTGAGACAAATCAAATGCACTAAAAAAATTTCAAAAAGTCCACACACTTTGAACAAAGTAATTTTTTTTCTAATTTAAATGAATTTAAAATACTTTAACTTTAAAAAATCATTACTCAGTAAGTATTAGGCCGATTTCCTTCAAATAAAGACTATTCTAAAGGGATGGCTTTGCCCTTTAGGATGATATAAAATTTGAAATTGAATATTGGCAAACTTTTCTTCGAACGGTGTTCGAAAAAGTTCGAAGTAAATCGAAATAATCTAAGAAAAACCCTACGAGTACTTTTTTTTCATCATTACCATCGTGTAGAGCATCTCTTTATTAGTTGTAATCCAAATTTTTAAAAGAATATATCGAGTGGTTTTCAAGATATGATTTTTTGAAGTTAATGTTTGCTAATCAAGCATTGTTCCATATCGGAGAAATGCATGTTAATCTTACTTAAAATTGCATTTTTATAAAAGTATTTGTTTTCAGACTCTTCTTTTGCTTAAAAATAGTCAATTGCACCTTCTTTGTTCTAATTAGAATAAACAAAAACTGTTTGTTTACTTAAAACAAATAAATAGTACCTGCGTACTAATTAAAGCAAATAAAGGGTTTTTTTGTTGTAAAAATGACCACTGAGATTATTGAGCAAAGAGGATCTAGAAGTTTAAGGCACGAGCCTTAAATATAAGGGCAAATCTTTTTCAAATCAAATCACTTTCCATTCAGATTTCGACTTGTTCACTTTATTCTAGTTTTCTGAAGTTTTTTTGAAAATGTTCTGAGCAAATGCTTTCTCATCACTTTCGAGTGATGTTAAATGAAATAAGTCACCTGATTTATTTTGTTGGTACATTCTACAATTAGCTTCAGTTAGCTTGTAGGTAGTAGTTATTGTGATAACAGTTGCACAGGAAGCAACTGACTTATTGTATTCAACATCAGTAGAAAGTGATGAGAAAACATTTGCTCAGAACATTTTCAAAAAAAAAAGTTCAGAAAGCTAGAACAAAGTGAACAAGTTGGAATCCGAATGGAAGTGATTTAATTTGAAAAAGATTTGTTCTTATATTTAAAGCTACTGCTTTAAAGTGCTAGATCTCTTTTGCTCAATGATCAGTAATCATTTTTAGAACAAAAAAACTCTTTATTTGCTTTAATTAGTACGCAGGTACCATTTATTTGTTTTAAGTAAAGAAACAATTTTTGTTTATTCTAATTAGAACAAAGAAGGTGCGGTGCAATTGACCATTTTAAGCAAAAGAAGAGTCTTAAAACAAATACTTTTATTAAAATGCAATTTTAAGTTAGATTAACATGCCTTTCTCCTATATGGCGCAATGTTTGATTAGCAAACCTTAACTTCAAAAAATCATATCTTGAAAACTACTCGGTATATTTTTTTAAAAATTTGGATTATAACTAATAAAGAGATGCTCTACACGATGGTAATGATGAAAAAAAAAGTACTCGTAGGGTTTTTCTTAGATTATTTCGATTTACTTCGAACTTCTTCAAACACTGTTCGAAGAAAAGTTTGCCAATATTCGATTTCAAATTTCATATCATCCTAAAGGGCAAAGCCATCCCTTTAGAATGATATTTATTTGAAGGAAATCGGCCTAATTGTTATTACTCTTACTCTTTGAATTTTTTTTAGTGCATTTGATTTGTCTCACTGAGACGAACAAAATGATATAAAATTTGTCAAGTTGTCACGACATGATTTTTTTTTTGTCGCCTTGTGGAATTTACTTTTTGTGGTCCATTTTGAGTTTGTATTTCTTTAGTTTCGACCCGTGGAGGATTTTAGTATGCGGAAGGATGCATAAATACTGTTTGCTGTAACACAAAGTTTGAATGCTTCTCCATTCGAACATTTCGTAGAGCTGTGGTCCGCAGTTGCTCGCTGATCTGTCACGTTCGTAGAGATTGATCCCTTGGGCGCTAATATACAGCCAAACGTCTTTCTGATTATTGTCTTTGAGCATCTGTAATAAGTGTGTTATTTATTACCGACGATGGTTTCTTATTACCCAAGTTGCGGTGTAAAAGTGTCCACCGTAATGGGGGAGACTTTGGGCAAGGATAATAAAGTCCTGTTCAGCCTTTTCCGCACTTAATCCCCTTTTGGATATATGACACCGGATCAATTCTTGACGCAAACCATACTGGTCATCGATCGCGCAAGACATGGTCTCTGGAACGTAATGTTCCAACAGGAAGTAGTCCCGAGCCCCATGCTCCTGTAGCGAAAAAAACATCAAGAATTACCATTTATTTGAGTAATTCCACATTAAAACGGTCATTTTAAATCTCAATTTGAGATATGTCATAGAACGCATTTCACGTTTTTCACTCTTTTTTATTTTTTCAACGTAAATATGTTCAAAATAAGTACCTAGTAGCAATTTTTTTTTTAATTATTGATCAAAATAGGTACTTTACGGACGTGGTGATACATTTATTCTAAAAATTTAATATTAACAATTTATTTATACATATGTACATTGTTTAAACAAAGAAATTAACAATTGCACAGATTTTTAAAATTTTCAAAAAATTCATGTAATATCTCTCATAATTTTACTGTGTCCTCACAAAAGTTTCAGAACGAACGTTTTAAAAATGTTTGAATTTTTTTTTCATACACCCCTGAAATTGCCTGAAAGTAGTGTTCCAATTACCGTCATTAATAAATTGTTCTAAATAAAGCACGTAATTTCATTTGTTTTATAAAAGAATAATTTTTATAAAAATATTTTATTCTATCTTCTAATATTGACATAAAAGTATGAGGGTTTTTTTTAGGGTTCGTTTTAGACAAAAATGATTTTTTTAAAAATCGCAATGTTTTTCAAATTCTCGATTATAATACCAGGTAAACAAAAAGTATGAAACATAACATTTTTTGCTTAAATTATATATTTTTTGCAAAAACTAATTGATGAATGATAATGTACTAAAAAAATGTAACGTTTTGTCAATAAGGAATAAAATTTTTCGAAATTTTGTTTTTGAGGTATGCAAAATTATTAGTTTTTTTTTTAAATGGCAACTCATTGTAAACCCTTTTTACAAAAGCTATTCTCAAAGAAATGCAAGTTATTCAATTTTAAACAAAAAAACTTCAATATTCATAAATTTTTGCTTAAATTATATATTTTCTGCAAAAACTAATTGATGAATGATAATGTACTACTAAAAAATGTAACGTTTTGTCAAGAAGGAATAAAATTTTTCGAAATTTTGTTTTTGAGATCTGCAAAATTATTAGTTTTTTTTAAATGACAACTCATTGGAAACCCTTTTTACAAAAGCTATTCTCGAAGAAATGCATGTTATTCAATTTTAATCAAAAAAAAAATTCAATATTCAATCAAAATTAATTTCAATTTGGCATGCACAAAGAGTATTTTGCAAACTATTTCCCGAACAAAGTTTACAAAAACAATATTTTCATTATGAGAAATAAAAAAAAATCATTTATTTCAATCAAATCCTTCAAATTTCTGAGATTTATCCAATCAGATTCGCAGTAATTTAGCACACGGGCAAATTATCGATAATTTGCACACTCCCATTTTTCCCAACTGTATTAATTTTTTTCACAATATGAAAAACAAAATTTTCTATGTGAAAAACCATTTAATAGGACAAGGAAAGTTCTGAATTATCGATTGAATGAAGCTCAGAAATTTGAAAGATTTGATTGGCTTAAATTTTGTAAGGGAAATAGTCATAAACCTAAGTTGCCATTTTGAAGAAAAAAAAAATCGTATAACTCAAAAACAATTTTATTCTTAACAAATGATCACATTTTTATAGCACTTTATTTTTTTTAATTATTATCATTTTCTGAAGGAAAATAATTTAAAAAAACGCTTGGTTCCATATTTTTGGTTCACCTTGTATAATAAAATGTAATATCTAAAACATTTGGAACTACCCATTTAAACAACTCTAGTAGACTAGTTATATGATCTACAAACAACTTTTGTAAACTACTAAGAAGTACATCTAAAGAGTAGATAAGTTTTGAATATATATCTATTAAAAAAAAATGGACCTAAAGAATTTTTTATTTAATTTCCGGAAACGTTATTTTCAGGCGATTTCAGCGCTCTTAAAAAAATTTTTTCAGCCATTTTTAAAACGTCCGTATGAAGACGTAGTAAAAACATGAAAGTTTTTACATGAATTTTTTGAGAATTTTAAAATCTGTGTAAATATAATTTTTTTTTGTTCAAACAAAAAAAAATTTTTTCTTTAAAAATTATTTTTTTATAATAAATTGTAGAATACATGTATTACCACGTCCGTAGTGTACTGATTTATATCCATTATTTTTAAAAAAGAATATTGATTTATCCTTAAAATAAAAATTGTTTTGCTACGAGGTTCTTAATTTTGGCTATTCCTGTTTACAGGAGTGAATATAAAGTATGGAACCAATAGTTTTTTTTAAATCTTTTGTCCCTAGAAAATTTTAATTTTTTGAGTTATGGGATTTTTTTGTCAAAATTGCAATTTACGTAAAAAAAAATTATGAAGAAATGAAATATAAAGTAGATAGTTGTAATTCTTAGACAATAGATCATAACCTTCATGAAAAAATGGTTTTATAGTGGGTTGACATTTAAAAAAATAATTTTTTTGTAGAGGAAATTTCGAAAAATTTTATTCTTGATAAAACATCACATTTTTATAGTACTTCATCAATTATCAATTAATTTTTCCAAAAAATAACTAGTTTAAGCATTCACCTGGTACATACGAGTAAAAAAATCAAAAACAGTGATACAAATCGGAAATAATGAGATTTAAAAGTGATCGTTTTGGTGTGGAACACTCATTTATAATAACCCAATTACCCTCTCGCTGTAATTTCCAAACTCCGCTTGCAAGGCAAGTCCGTCCAATTCGATAAGCTGTGAGAAAGAGCAGGGCAATTGGTGTTCAAGTATCGACCTTCTCAATTGCAAATACAATAAATGACGAGCTTGCAATCCTCGGATCCCACGAAGACTGGGCAGGAAGAAGCGAACTCGCATAAATAAAGTAAGAGTAGCATTTTGCAAATTGCCAGGTTGCACAGCCTTGCAAATTCGGGTGTCTGATGGGAGAAAAACAAAATCGCCAGCGATTAATGCCGAAAGACCCAACATGAAGTTCTCCTCGATGTGTTCTTTCTGGATTATTGCCTGCAATTAAAAAAAATTGCAAATGAAAACTGAAAATAAACTATGCAACACTCTCAAGACGGGAATCTCCACGAACACCTCCAGAAAAGGAAGCTAAAAGCTGTCAGGTGTGTTGAGACTAAAGCTACACAGGCTGGAAGTATTTACGAGCTTTTTATTGTTCTGCTAAAAATGTTGAATGTGTTTTATTATTCAACTTGATTGATCTTGGAAAAAGCTGAGTAAGCTCTAATCTTCTGAAATTAACCGCTTCGCTTTAGAAAGCAGCTGTGCATTTTATTGATTAATTTCGAATTGTTGTGGGATGTATTCAACGGTGTTCCGTCAGTTTTGCATTTTTTTTTATTATGATTTATTAATTAAAGTAATGATTAGCAAATATGAGTAAAATGGGTGATGTTTACACTACAAAAACTGCCAGATTAATGCCTGTATTTCGGAATAGTGCAAAACATAAATCTAGAAGTTTTGATAATAAATTATTCATCCTTCATCCACATAACTTTTTGTGAATTTAAAAAAATATATATTAAACTTTAATGCGACAAAATATAAATTTATTTTATACTAGACAGGACTATTTTGGTTTCAAATAACGCATTCAAAGTGAAAAAAAAATACCACCAGTTTAAGAAAAAAACTTAAATGTTTTTCAAGTTAAACTTCCCATAAGTAATTAATTATTGCATTTTTTTATTCAACATTAAATTATTAAATATGGAAAGTCTATTTTTCCATTACACTTTGAGTGTGTATTCAGTTTTTTTTCAATAATAAAAAAATAAAAAGAAAGAAAAACAAGAATAAACAGAAAATATAAGCAATATCGGAATAGATTGTTGAAATTATTTATTTACTTATTAAATTCGTAAAATCTGAGACAAGTTCAAAAACACTAGTTTTTAAGTGTTTAAGTGTTGACAAATTTTTACTTTTTTTATTTTGTAAATTGCGGCAAAAGCGTGACTTAATGATATAATTATTTGACGTAAACCTATGTAAAATGTTCTGGGGAATCGATTGACGTCAAGAAAACTGTAAAATTCGTAATAGTTTTTAAGTTATAGACGTATTTAAATTTTTGATATTTTTGACTTTATCACAAATTTTCTTGATAACTATTTATCGTAGAGCATTGATCATTGAATATGATAGAGAATTAAATTTTCTTTCCAACGGTACCAAATCTTAGAAATTATCTCTAATAAGTCCGGAGTTATTGGCATTAGACCACTCCGCGTACCGAAAATCG